CATCCTAACATTGTTCAATTAATGGAAACATATGAAGATAAAAATAAAGTTTATTTAGTTATGGAATTGTAAGTATGTCTTTTTTTTAATAAGCTAATTAAAATAATAAAAACCTTATTAATTGTTGAAATATTTGCAAAATAAAATTTATTCTGCAACTATGTCAATAGTTAATGGTGTTTTATTACTTTAGTATAATCTTGCATTTATTGTATTAGGTACAAATAATGAAACAGTATTAATTTTGTCACTAGATGAATTATGTTAGAAACAAATTTCATTTTTTTTTATTAAATAATTAAAGTTTTTGTACAAAATTTGAATTGAAAAACAATACAGAGAGAACATTTTTAAAATTTTCAATTCTTAAGAATGTGTGTAAATATATGTAGAATAAAAGACAATATATTAATATTCAATTGAAAAATTTTCAAAATTTAATTATTACATACTGTATGTAAATTAGTTTTGAATTATTTAATATTGCTTGTTAGAATAAAATTATTTATGCAAATATCTTTGTTATTATTAAAATTTGAATTATATTCATCTGCTATAAGTGAGTTTTTTTTTTAATTGAAAATGCTTATATTAAAACAAAATATACAGTTTGATTTCTTGATAATCACAGTGCTTGCAAAGTATAATATTTTGATGTAAAAATGAATGCGAATTCAATAAATAAATTATTTTAGAAATATTTTTTTTTAGTTTGGAATATTTTTAATTAGATGTAATAATTTCCTTGTAATCCTTGTTAATGATAACATTAATTTATAACTGATCGTCACAAATTATTCAGTACTAGAACTAATTTTTATTTGTTAAATTTTGATTTTTCATTTGATTTAAATTAATATTTATGATTTTAGTTATTAAAAACATTATAATAGTTGGGAGCAAGGGTACCCAACTTTGTTGCTAGTGACTCGCTAGGGTTCAGTTGATTTATCTGAAGAGTCACTAAATTACTAGTTTCATTAATGGCCATCAACATCCTCTGTAATACCAGACTTATTATACACAGCATAGGAATTATCACTTGATTAGGAAATCATCAATATTTATTGATTCATATTATATGGGGGAATGCATTTCGGACTCTCTTGTTCCTCATCAGCCCTTGTACAAGTTATGTATTGTCAGTAGTCATACATCTTTATATATATAGGAATATACATAGATAAGAATTTCACTTACACTTTTTGATGATGACTATCTTATCCATTTTTGAAAAAGCTGCCAACTTTTTTAATATACAACAACAGATGCTAATACCACTAGAATTACATTCTCCACTTTTAATCATCTCTAGTTTCAAAGCACTTTACAGCCCACTCCTTTCACCCTTGTTTTTTCCTTATTCATAATAATTGCATGTCCCCCTTGGTGTTTAAAATAGGGTACCAAGTAGGGATTATAAATTTACTGACTTTTTCATTTACCGGTAATTCGGTAAAGTAAAATTAAAATACCGGTAAATTTTTTTTTGAAAGATAAAATTAAGGTGATAAAAAAATGTCATTATGATTTCCATTTCACATTTTTTATTTCAAAGATATCAAATATAAAAAGTATAAAAATTAAAGTGTTATTCTAAACAAACTATAATAATAAATATAGAAATAAACAGAAATAAAATAATACAGAAAAATAAAAATACAACAGAAATAATATATAGTACCTAATACCATTTTATTGATTATCATTTTTTAAAATTAACTTCTCAAGAAACTTAAATTATTTACATTCTTATCTCCTAATTTTGATCTAATTTTTGTACAAAATAATCCAGATCCTGAGAATACCCTTTCTGATTCAACACTTGTTGGACGAATGGTCATTGAATTAAAATTAAACAAAAAATACCTCACATAAAATTAATAATGAGGTATATTTTTTCTTACACTTACCTGTTTTTTTTCAATGTCCCTTTAGCCCTTTTAAATATCTATAAACACAATATTTTCTACATAGAAATTTCTAGTATGGATTTTTCATTTACTTAATTACCGGTAAATTTTTGAAATCTGACTGACTGGGTGATTCATCATTGCCCAGAGCAAACCACTGAACCTAAAGAGATGAAATTTGGCACACAGTTAGGGTACGTCATGAAAATGCACACTAAGAAGGGATTTTTGGAAATTTCCTGGTTGGGGAGAAGGGGAGGATTAAGGCTTAATCTGTAGAATGGCTTCTACTGTGCTAGTTTAGATACAATTTTTTTGTTTTTAACTATGTTTTATTACGGTATGCAATAAGAGTGCATACTAAGAAGGGATTTTTTGAAATTTCCCGCGAGGAGAGAGGGATAGGACTAAGGCTTAAACAATCTTAGTCCCAAAAGGCAGTACCACAAATGTGGTACTGCCTTTTGGGACTAAAAGATAATGTGGTACTGCCTTTTGGGACTAATACCTACAAAGAGGTGCTGGGGTAACTGAAACTCTATTTTTCAAATAATGTCATTTATGTTTTGAAAAAAAAATTGAACTCAGATTTATCATATCTTAGAATCCCATAATAATTGAAAATTGAATTTAGGTTCATTAGCAGTCCATAGTTTGAAACAAACAAAAATCAGTAATTTTACCAAATTAGTAACAACTAATGATTGAGAATCTTAGTGAAGTAGTTATTTCTATCAAATTGCAAAATTTGTGCAGGCAAAGCTGCGGGTAACAGCTAGGGTTATATAATGCTATAATGTTATAAGACATTAATTAATAATAATGCTATAATGTTAAAAGAAACAGAAAAAAATTAATAATAATAACGGTTTACAAATACATAGTTTTTGGTACCCTGTTTTAAACACCAGAGGGGAGACATACAATTACGAATTAGGAAAAAACAAGGGTGGAAAGGAGTGGGGCTTGGCTGACATGTAAGTGAGCCTTGATTGCTGACATATTGCTGTCAATATATACAGCTGACTCAGATACAAAGGTACACTTACAACAAACTAGTGTCCTAATAACAATTGATAACATTGTAATTACAATAAACGAGGTCTACTGTATTACAACTTATTTAAGAACTTAAAAAATAATATCTATTTATAGATATAGAATAATCAACATAGGTATTAAATAGATAGTTGCCAATTTAGTACATAAATAATATTTTATTAAAACAGTAGTGTCTTCAAAGTATGAGGAGCGTCCAGAAAATAAAATGTGTTTGCACATAGCATTCTGCGAAGGTAAATTACTGCCATCAGTTCAAGGTCAATTTGTTCACTGATGTGTTAGCTTAGCACATGTAGAGTTTCGATAACAGAAAGCTTATTGTTATTGTTTTGTCAATGGTTAAAATGTGTACAAAAATAGAAAATCCCATCAAAGTGTTGTTCATTTCTAAACCCAAAAAAGTTTGTCCTATGGAAATTCATAAACTGTGGAAGTGTATGAAAATCACATTAGGAACAAAGCAAATGTGAGAAAATAGTGTTTAATGTTTAATCAAAGAAGATAATACACAACCACACTCTACTGCAGCCACTCAAAGCGTGCTTCAGAAATTTGGCTGGGACATTTTTAACCACCCACCATACAGTCTGAACCTGGCCCCCACTGACTTTCATCTCTTACCCAAGCTGAAAGACTTTTTGGGTGGATTTGGAACTTTTTGGAACAGATGATGAGGTAAAGAAAGCTATCACTATCTGGCTGAAGAAACTGGCAGAAGTCTGACATAGGAAACCAAAAACTAGTGTTGTGCTATGACAAGTGCTTTAATCATAATGTAGAAAAGTAACTGGTCATGTACTAATTACTTAATAAAACTTTTTTCATGTCATTACTGTTTTTTCCTTATACAGTAGACCCCCCTATAACACGGATTTGTATAATACGGCGAAAAAATTGTGATCGTGTTCTTATAACACACTAAAAGAGACTCGTATAACATGGTAAAAGAATGAGACAGATTGTCATGTTGCGACAGGATTGGTCGAATCTGGACCAATAGTGGACGAGCAGCTGAACTACTGGCCACCGTCCAGCGCCATGCGTATATATGGAGAGTTTAGGCGGGAAAGTTGAGTTTACTATTATCTGTACAGTACATAAATTAGGTACTGTAAGTCTAATATTGTAATTTTATAATTTTTACGTTAAATTTTGTCTTTAGTCATCAGAATAACTTATCAGGAAATGCATCCGCCGTTCGATGAGCCACTTCGCGACGAAAACAAGTTTAAGTAATGGTGTCTTCGAACGGTGTGCACTCAGTAAGTATTCCTACAATTTTTTGTTTATAGCATAGTTTATATGGATTATTCCCAAAAAATTATATGTGATTTGGAAATGTTTGAGTCAAATTAATCTAGAATCGATTAATTTTATGGAAGAAAACCTTTCAGATAGCCGTAGCCCCTAAACTGCACAAGTGCTGGGCTGTGATTGGCTCATGTATTTAAGTGACTTGTACAACACGGAATTCATATAACACAGAACGTATCTACTGTGTTATAGGGGGGTCTACTGTAAATCACATTGTAAACCTATTGTCCAGTATTGGTAATATGTAATATGTTCACTGTATGAATGTTTTCAAGCTTCTCCTGAGTCCTGCTTCAGGTAAATCTTGTTGTTTTGTTGATAGAACATAATTACAGAAAATTAAAAATTTGAATGTCTGTCAAAAATCGAACCAATTTAAAAAACAGAACACATTGGCGCTCCTGCTTTAACAGTACGAAAAACAGAATAAAATGCCATGCATCAGTATGGGCATGCACAAGAGGTCCTACAACAACTAACTAACTACAGTTCCAGTTTGTAAAGGATCTGCCAAGCTGCAGATAGAAAAAGTTCCTTCTTGTGATTGATACACATACTGTTTTAAAAATTTCTAAGACTTCTAAATATCTAAGCTGATCAGTGCAATATGTTGTTATTAGGACACTAGTTTGTTGTAAGTGCATCTCTGTATCTGGGTCAGCTGTGTATATTGACAGCAATATGTCAGCAATCAAGGCTCACTTACATGTCAGCCAAGCCCCACTCCTTTTCACCCTTGTTCTTTCCTAATTGTATGTTCCCCATCTGGTGTTTAAAATAGGGTACCAAAAACTATGTATTTGTAAACCATTATTGTTAATTTTTTTCTGTTTCTTTTAACATTTAACATCTTTTAGCATTATTATTAATTAATGTCTTATAACATCAATATCTTATAACATTATAGCATTATATAACACTAGCTATTACCTGCAGCTTTGCCTGTGCAAATTTTGCAATTTGATAGAAATAACTCTCCCTAAAGTAGAAGTAAATTTTTTTTACAAAATTTTAGTTTTTTTTTGTTTACACTTTTTGTTATAGAGTTACAGGTGGAGAATTATTTGATCGCATAGTGGAAAAAGGAAGTTACACAGAAAAAGATGCAAGCAATCTAATACGACAAATTTTAGAGGCAGTGGATTTTATGCATTCCCAGGGAGTTGTTCACAGAGACTTAAAGGTATGTGGAAGAGGATATTTATATTTTTTTAGGAATCAGTAAAACTTTAATTAAATAAGTTTGAACCAATAAATGATCTGATTTTGTGTTTTTAATTGATACATAATAATAATAATTAGCTTCATCATCTCTTATACTATGTTCGCACACAATCCACGACTCACTTCGACCACTATTTACCTACAATCTGGATTGTAACTGTCGCCAGATGAATGTTGAGCGGTTCGCACAGGCAGTCTGCTTGAGAAGAACCCAGCTATTACACACAATGATAAAACTGACATAACTACATGGTAAGTCACGAACGGTTAGAAATAAATACTTTTCCTTACCATATATCTAATAATAGACAGATGTCATCATCTCTCCAGATGTCTTTTTTATTTATCTGTTGATAGTGTGTTCCACAGTCATCTTATATTTTCTTGCACGCATGGGATTGTGGGATCTCTCTTATGACTGGATCTAGTTTCAAGAACTCGCTTGAGTTGATTGCAATTGAACCTTGTTTCAGTCGAGATTGAAATGGTCGAGAGAGGTCGCACCACAGCATGGTCGCCGACCTTAGTCACAATCTAGATCGAAATTCTCAGTGCAAATGGGGTATTACAAAGTTACACACACATACTCAAACAATATACAAGTGGTGTTTGATGTAGACAGATGCAAAACATTACACATTGAAAAAAGGTGTTCTAAAGAAAAAAGACTTTGTACTCAGAAGTGGAAAAATTATTGAGTCCATGGAAGAAGGCACGTTTTGCAAGTATTTAGGATTCCAGCAGGCCACACTTACAAATGGTATAACAAGATAAAACAAAGGTTTACACATGAATACCAGAACAGAATGTATTTCTGTATGTGCATAGTGTGTTTTTGTTTGTTTCTGTGTTTTGTGCGTGTGTGTGTGAATTTTTCTGATTATTTTCCTAACCTCTTTTATTAAGTTTCAGGTTAGGTTGTTTTTAGTGTACAGTTATATCTCATCTTACGTCGGTAATTTGTTACAGGAGAGGCAACTTAAGTTGAATTTACTTATCACTAGACTAAACTGCAAATAATCATTCCTAGTTCTGTATTTTATTTATAAATACATTTTTAATAATATATAGTTAATAAGAATCTATTTTAAGCTTACAAATAAATTTTAGTTTTTAATATGGTACAGGAAACAAAGTAATCTAAATTTACGAATACATGTATGTACATACATACTTGTAAATGTACATGTTTACAATTTGTTTATTTGTGAATGTGGTTTGCTCTAAGTCATTATAAAATAAGATGATTTTGTAAGGTTAAATAACAAATAGTTATTAAAATTATTTTGCAATAGTAGAAAATAAACTAATTTATGTTAAATTTACCAATATTGAGTAGTGCTGACAATGATGCCAAATGGTAGATATTGGAACTACTGGGGAAAATGCCAATATTGAGCTCTTAAAGACTGCTAAATAAGATGACAACACAGAGTCACAGATGTTTTCATGTTCCGTTCTATGGGATTTATGATTATTATATTAACATTTACTGTAAATTTACATATTTTAATATGATTTTCTGTGCTTTTTAGTGATATTACGTTCAGTATTTCAGTATTTGTGGCAGACAGACGTAAAGTCAAATAAAATGACTTAAACTTAATTTTTATTTTTCCAATTTTTTTTTTTTTTTTTTTTTTTTTTTTTTNTAGAAAATAAACTAATTTATGTTAAATTTACCAATATCGAGTGGTGCTGACAATGATGCCAAATGGTAGATATTGGAACTACTGTGGAAAATGCCAATATTGAGCTCTTAAAGACTGCTAAATAAGATGACAACACAGAGTCACAGATGTTTTCATGCTCCGTTCTATAGGATTTATGATTATTATATTAACATTTACTGTAAATTTACATATTTTAATATGATTTTCTGTACTTTTTAGTGATATTATGTTCAGTATTTGTGGCGGACAGACGTAAAGTCGAATAAAATGACTTAAACTTTATTTTTATTTTATTTTTATTTTTATTTTTTATTTTTTTTTTGACAAAGACGTATAATCGAGAATGACTTAACTCGAAACAACATAACCCAAGGTATACCTGTATTGTGTCAGTCTACCTAATTGTTGTCTAATGTTATTTGTTTCTAGTCTTCTTTGCCAAGCAGGCTTATGATTTGGTTGTGTTTTGAATCTCTCTGTTTGTGATTGCACTTTATGGCCATGGTATGTATCTACAGTGATTTCTTCAGAAAACTAATGTATGTATATCTGAAAGTTGCTTCTGGTTAAATGTGTTTTGGTAATATGTATTTATTAAAGTATTATAAAGTTTTACCACTTGTTTTGATGTATGTATTTTGGATATTTGTGCTTTCTGTGGGATCTAAACTTATATATTTAGTGTTACTTAAAATAAATTTGTGTGTTGATTAATTTTGTTTGTCTGGTTATAGCTGTCACGTTAGTGTTTTCATTGGTGTATGTTATGTTATGTACATTTTCTTGAGTGACTGCTGTAGAGACATTGTCAATAAGTGAGTGATTGTGTATTTGTCTGTGATGATGTATCTGCCATGCAACCTGTTATTTGATATGTTCAAATTATTATTATTATATTGATTCTCTTTTGAAGAAAGTGAGATTTTCCAAATCTGTATTCACAACTAAATAAATGTTCATGTACTGTACTTTAATTCACAAGATCTCATTTTTTGAGAAAAATGCAGAATTATGCAAATAAACTCAGTATTTAACAAAACAAAATTATTCACCATAGAAAAGTATTTTTTGTATGGTGAATAATTTTGTTATTAAATTAAAATGACTCAAAGATTTGAAAATAATTATATTTGTTTTTAATATTGTAGCCAGAAAATTTACTGTACTTCAATCCTGAAGAAGACTCAAAAATCATGATAAGTGATTTCGGTCTTTCCAAGATGGAAGATTCTGGTATAATGGCAACTGCCTGTGGTACTCCTGGATATGTTGGTAAATTGAAATGTTTAATTTATTCATTTACATAAAGGTATATTGAAATTAATCTGCCAAATTTTTACAATTTTTTCTTATTAATTGAAGATTATCCACAAATTACATAATGCAAATTTTTATTTTTAAATTCCATTATGCAAATAATTAAATTCAGTAAAATGCTTATCTTTCTGAATTTATTTATTTATTTACTTTTGTGAAACATTTAAATTATTTTAAATTATACACTTAAGATTATAATAAGTTTTAATAACTGACAAGAAATGTACCAATAATAGCCATTTGTATAAAACCTCTTTATTATTTCAAGTGCTATTATAACATTAAAGAAAACAAAACACAATTTTGATTGTAAATGTAAGTTAATAAAAAAATAAAAATAATGCATAACTATTTTATGCTTATGTATTTTTTAATTTGATACATTTAACTGGAAATGGTCATATGGAGTTACATATGAATTCAAATATCCCATAGGATGCTCTAATTTTTTAAATAATTTCATTGTCTGTGGAATGGAATTTTTCTTCCATTAATCTTTTAGGGGCTTAAATGATGACACATTGTGGCTGCAAGATCTATTTGAATATAAGGCCACTAAGATAATTCTGTCTTTACAACAAAAATTGCTTAAGTGCCTTGTTTTTGTGATATTTTTAATCTAATTAAATAATCAATAAAAGTGTTAATTTTAATAAATGTTAAGAAAATCTAGTAAGTGCTACTAGTAGCAATTTCTGGACTATCTTGCATATTTTGTTCCAGTAATTGCTATATACAATTAAAACAACCTGCAGTTTAAATGAAATTTAAACATAATTAACAACACATCAAAAATGCTCCAAAAAATCTTAAAATGCAGCTTATTTTGCTAAAATACTGAACATTTTCGATCAGCTTCACTGACCACCTTCAGGCTCAGCTTCAGTTGGAGATATAGGAGATATAATAATTAACAACTAATTTGTAATACTTTTAGTATAATAAATTACAAATAGAACTTTTTCTTTAGAAGTTTTTTTCCTTCTAAAATTCTGTACAAATTTGATTAATTTATTTTTAACAAATATTCACTCTCTAACTGATATATTGAAATCTTATTCAAAAATAAAGCCTAAGTGAATCCCGTTTGGAATAATTCTTATACTATGTATTTTTAACTTAATTCTCTAATAGTATATGGTGCAGCTGAATATAAAAAAATTTTTATATTTAACTAGCTTATTTTAAATTTTTCACATTTAAATGGCAATTACTGGTACAGTTATCTCATTAGAATCTTAAACTTTGCTTGGCATCCTTTTTTACTGAAAACATTTATGATTTGTTTGAACAAATTTTTGTGAAACTTTAATAAAATTGTGAGAAATGAGGGGAGTATGACTACGTCGTACCTCCGTGAATCGGCTTTCAAGTCGGAAGTACTTGCCCACTTGTCAGAGATGGCTTAAAGTTTTAGTTTATCCCGAGGGAACAGGACTAAATTTTTTCGGATCTGGCGAGTGTCGGAGGGAGAAGTCAGGCGGTAAGGTGACAGGCAATATACGAGTAAAAGAGGATACCTATTTAACAAGGAAACAACGATTTATTAGTTTTCTATATATACAATACAATAACTTTTATCGAGGGAAAATTTCTGAGTCCCTAAAACACGAAGGGCTGAGAGAGAGTTCACAAAAATTAGTTCCATACCTCTTTATGGGTTTAGATATTCTAGAGAACAAAACATACAGCACAAACGTAGGGCACAAGCTATAGTTAAACCCTCGGAAGTGACTCTCCAGAGGGGAGAGAGAAGTGGCTTTTATCGTTTTACGGTGGGAAAACTGTCATGGGACTAATTAGTTGCGAAGTAAAAGGTGTGCGGGGAGGTCAAAGTTGTCCCCGGAACCCAAATAAGATGACGAAATTGTATATTAACTATCAACTTTTAAGTTTGTAATGTGGGAATATTGTTGAGATGGGCGAATGTTTACTTTGAAAAAAAAAGGGGAGGTGGAAATTTCTCCCTCTTTCAAGGTGGTTTCCTCTCTATTTTCTAGGGGAATTTAATTGGGTTTTAGATAAAATAGGACATTGATCGGGGAAAAAATCGGTAGAAAATCCGGATTTCACAAAATCATGTCTTAAAGCATTCAATAGTTCTTATCAAGATTGATCATCAAAGTCAAGCAGTAATAATACTTTGAATCTTAATTTAACAAAAATTATTTAAAACTAATTTATTAATATATGCTGAAAGTAATTTTGTACCATATTTTCATAGAATTACCAGCATGCCGGTCTCTCCAGGAGAGATCATGAAATCGGATATTTTGGTATGGTAACAGCCGGTATGCTGGTTTATCCCAGAGGAATACTGGCATGCCAGTTTATGTGAGGCAATACATTCCCCTCTAGAGGACACATTAAAAAAAAAAACAAATGAGTTTTTATTCTAAAATTGTGAAACTGTCAGCATTACGTCAACGTACAGGGAAAATCTTTAACGCTTTTGCAAGTATTGCGAGTGGTCGTTGGGGACTTGCCACTGAGGCGATGGATGCAATTTATAATCAGATTTATATTCCAATCATTTCTTATGCTTGTGGAATTTGGGGAGGTGATGTTTATAAGACTCATATAAAGCGTAAACTTATTTCGTCACAACGTAGAGCTCTTATTCAGATCACCAAGGCCTACAATACCACGCCCAATATCTCTATTCAAGTTCTGGCTAAGAAAGCCCCTATTGATCTTATCATCACCTCCTATTTTAAACAATGGCAAATAAAGCATGGCCTTGATATTTATACTAGCAACCAACAAATAAGTCACACCGACTTGGAACAAGAAATTTCTTTTGTCATTTATTCACAATCTTTGGCCCTTTCGTCCACACCGTCAATCGTCTTCGAGCAACCCTCTTACAATGATTACGAAATCTTTACGGATGGTTCGAAAACAGATATAAAGGTTGGTTGTAGTTATGTTGTTTACCAGAACGGGCAGGAGATTGCTCTGGGCCAGTTCAGATTGGGTGAACAATGCACTATTTTTCAAGCAGAACTCTATGCCTTGAAAATGGCCATTACTTGGGCTAACAATGTCCAGCATAAACAAATAGCTATCATTACTGATAGCTCTTCCTCTATTGCAATCCTTCGTAAAAGATCCTTTCACCCAATCGTTTATGACATTAACACTCTCATTTCCAAGTCTTCCAATCGATATTATATTTACTGGACTCGTGCACATATAGGTACCCATGGTAACGAAAGAGCTGATGCCTTAGCTAAGGCAGCTTCCAACGATAATAGTCTTAATATCTCTTATGATAAAATCAGCACCAGTACTCTCAAAAGAATTCTCTGGCAGGATCTCCTATTAACTTGGCAAAACACCTGGGACCAACATAACCACCCTATTACTCATAGATTTATACCTTGTATCAAGACCTTTTTTACATACAAATGGTACAGACCTAATAGTTTTGTTACGCAATTTCTTACCGGCCATGGTCGCTTTCAATCTTATCTAGCGAGATTCGTTAACGCAACCAGTTCAATGTGCTCCCTGTGTGGTGTTACAGATAGTAATGTGCACTACATTTATGAGTGCCCCATGCTTAATTTGGAGCGACATATACTGATTACCACTATTAATTCACATGGCCATAACTGGTCTGACTATAACACAATCCTTCGTGAAAAAGACTCATATGAGGCCTTTTTCGACTTAATCACCAAATACTTTGCACGTACAACAGTCAGTGGCTTTTAGTCAGCTTTGTACTCAATCACTCTCTTGAGTATGATACGATACCATCTTATTCCGATTCATCAAATAATTCTAATTTCAGCAGCCATCATGTTACACATCATCAGCCTCAGGATGTCTGGCATACGTCTAGTTTATCCTGATTATTCAGTAGTTATTCTCTACCAAAGTGTACTGTTTACGTGCGGACAGATGATCAAGACTGCAGCACTAAGTTTACAGTACACAATATATACATTAGTGCTGAAGAACATTTTTCTTCATCCTATTTTGCTTATGGCTGTCTCTTTTTAAGGATGGACTTTGTGTATTGGTGTCGAATGTGACTGGATTTTAGCTGGAATCGCACCAAGCACAATCTTCGAGACACCGATCGATCGTCAGTGTTTTCTGTATTGTATTGTGTTATTGTATTGTGTACCTATTACGCCTGTGTATTTTACCTTTATATTATAATTAATTATGTATTTTGTAACACCTATATCTATCTGTATTTTTATTATTGTAATTTGTTTCACCGGGTAGTGCTCACTGCGGAACCCGGCATGTACTGTACCATTGTGTGCGTTAATAAAGAAATGAATAAATGAATGTCAGCATTACATCAAAAACATCAAAAATTATATGTTTAATTTCTTCATTTTGTCTTCTTTCTAATGACACAAAATATTCTTGGAATTCTGAAAATGCTTTTTTTTTTGTGTGTATTTTATTATTGTTTGATTCAAAAAATAACCATATTAAATTTAAGAAACATGCTTAAATTATTTTAAATTATACACTTAAGATTATAATAAATTTTAATAACTGACAAGAAATGTACCAATAATAGCCATTTGTATGAAACCACTTTATTATTTCAAGTGCTATTATAACATTAAAGAAAACAAAATACAATTTTGATTGTAAATGTAAGTTAATAAAAAATAAAAATAATGCATAAATATTTTATGCTTATGTGTTTTTTTAATTTAATACATTTAACTGGAAATGATCCTTACACCAATTAACATCTGTTTGTGTGAAATTTGAGAGGGAGATGTTATTTTTAAGCTTAGGATAACTCTCACTGCCTAACTATTATTACTTCTAATGTCAATAAGTGGTTAATTGTTTTATTGTGGTGTAAATGAAAACTCTCCCTGATTTTAAGTCAGTCAAATTACAATGTTATTTTATTGTACTCAGAAAGAAGAATGTTTTCTTTAATGTTTAATTAACAACAAGTTTTGTTAGAT